AATTTATCTTGGACACGCGTGTTAATACAATTTATGTTTATTACGTCATCTTGACTTATACTGATGTTACAATTAAAGGGACATAACTCTCTAACTTTCAATAGCTCCTGTTACACGGACATTGGATCCACTCCTCTCCACCCCGTGGGTTTCCATACTCACCACAACAATAAATAAAGTACCACTCATCTGCGTCTGATTCACAATATTTGACGCTTTTCTTCTTTTGCCCTTTGACCTTTCCCATCTTTTGCTCTTTTTCTCCTCCACCTAAGATTTCCTTTTAAAAGCCCGATTTTTGGTTGACAGAAGATTTTTTACTGGTATGTCAATAAGAATATCGCTTTTCTTCTTTCTTACATCAACCTATCCAACCAATTAAGTAAATTATTAAAGGCTTTATGGCAGACCCAGATTATTCACAGACTTTTGGCAAGTGGAATCGGTTAAAGGAAAATGATAGTAGTTTATTACTAGGATATAAACATATTTGCAAATTAATTTCTTAGAAAAAAAAAATTAAAATAAAAAAAAATATTTTTTACTTACCATGCTAAAATGTTTGATTTTTCACAAAATTCAGTCCTTGATTCGCAGAGTTTCGATTTGTAAGCAGGAATGAGACAGGAAGGCTTAAATACGCATGCGCTGGTGCTACTTCCAAACAAATAGACGCTTCCGTTTCTGAAAAATGCGCTGTGCATCAGCCTACGCCCTGCATCAATGTACCTCGCTTTACCTTATGTCAGTGGTTGCCAGACAGTGTGGCGAGCCTTATAGGTGCGGCGAAAGTGGATAGCAGGTGAGGCGGAATGATTGAAAGACAATCAAAATTTTAGAAACAGTTTCAAATATTCATATGTCAAAAATAAATATGATTTCAAAATTTAAAATATTATTATAGATTACTAGTAATTGCGTGCATGAGTCCCAGTATAAATAGCTATAAATAATTATTGACTGATTTTATCATTGTGATATTTTTGTATTATATCAAGTATTAAGAATATAGTAATTAGAGTCCGCAAATTGAAGGAGAGAGTTATCAATGATAATGTTCTGACTTCGAATCCGAAGTTATCCTCCTTTAACCCTCGCTCTGTTTTTTTTTTTTTTTAATTTTAAATTAAAATTTGGTGAGGCGCGAGCAAATTTTAATTCTGAAAATGCGGCCAGCAGAAATAGAAAATTGGAACCAATGCTTAAAATTTGCTGCATCTATGTAAGAAGAGTTTAATTATTGGAGATAAAACCTCTGAAGCCATAGTGTGAAAATAGAAGCCAAACACTGTAGGTATATGTCAAAGGTTTTATTGTATGTTAAAATGACAGCTTGTCCTTTTTATTTGAGACACTCTAATCAGGTTTTTAGCCGAAAAATTTGAACAAAATTTCTACTATAACCAGCGATACTGCAATCCAAGTCAGTTTTATATATTTTCTTTATTTACCGACATTCAAGTTTTATTCGTCTTACTCGTCAGAGTAAATAGTTCGTGTCTATGTATGTACATATGTGTATTTTTGAGAGATAGAGAGTGAGTGGGGAGTTAAATAAAGTTACAATAATAATGATAATAAAAAGAAATAAAAACGAGGAGACATAAAAACTCGTCCAACTAAAATATTGCTTAGAAATCGTGAAAATAATTAACCCGGCTTAAGAATATTTCACATAATAATCCTAATCGTATGCAGTCAGCGAAGTGTGAAAAAAAAAACCCTGAATGACTTCACACTCGATTAATTCTTAACAAGACGAAGCCAGGATCGGTTTATAACACGGAAGTCTTATGTAAACTATTTGTTAAATCGGTGTTACATAACTGTCATATTCATATGGTGATTTTCTAAGAGTAACTTAGATGTGACACACGGTCTAATGAATGGGGTACGCAGTGAGGATCGAACTCACTAGTCAGTCGTAACTGTTTTAGCGAGACAAGCTTGCGAACCATTACACCACGCCGAGGTACTCTTATATTCATATGTATAGAAATATTTTTTATCATTGCTGTATAATGGACAAAGATTATTTTTCATGATAGCAATTAGAAAATTATGCCACGAGTCTATGAATATATACTAGCGTTCCTAAAGTATGGAAGCACCACGAGAAAACAATTTCTATATTTAATGATCTCTAGAAAATATATTTCGAGAGGGAAGCGAAATTACAACAAGAATGATTTCATTGATTGACATGAAAAAATTAATTGGATAGGGTGAATTGGATAGGGTGAATGACCAATCAATAAGTGAGAGAAAGGGAATAATCAAACGATGACAGATTGAAAGCGAATAATGAATCGATGCATGACAGAGTGAAGGAGTAATCGATGAGTGATAGAGTGTGAATGACGAATTGATGAGTGACAAAGAGGGAATAATCAATCGATGAGTGATAGAATGTGAATGACGAATTGATGAGTGACAAAGAGGGAATAATCAATCGATGAGTGATAGAATGTGAATGACGAATTGATGAGTGACAAAGAGGGAATAATCAATCGATGAGTGATAGAATGTGAATGAAAAATCAATGATTGATATAGTGAATGACAAATCGCAGTGATAGTTAGAATGACCAATTGTTAAATAACAGCGTTATTGACCAATTGAGGAGTGATAGAGACATCAGTAGATAAGTGATAGAGAGTGAATTGATGTGAAAGAGAGAAACGAATAAAAAGGAAAGAAATGTTTACGAGGAGGAAAGTAATAGTCACACGGTTTTTACTGCATTTTCCAGGAATTGAACTCCATTATTATGTCGTCAGATACACAAACCAACCTTTTAATCCTCTAGGCTATTGTTCCGTGCAATAACCGGGCTGTACTAAAATAAAGGTCTAGACGAGACCTATTATCAGTAGAACGAGAACAGTCTACCCACGCAGATTAAATAATGGTTCAAGTTCGAAATTTCCCCGTCGGTTGCCCGGATCGATATTCACCTGAAGAAGACCGGAGGGCACAACGACCGAACGTTGTGAATACAACAACAACAAAGATGAGGACAATAGTCCGCGTCTAAATAGTTTTGATGCATTCAAATTGATACCGTAGTTCACATATCTCACTTATGAAAAGAAACGAATAACCATATACAATTAACAAAGAATAATGTCATGGGTGAAAGCGAAGCAATGACTAAAACTCAATGAATACATTTTTAATCTTGTTCTATTACATCAAAACAAAGACTCGAAATCTAACGGCTTATTAATATTGTAGAAGGAATTACACAAAAAGGCTTCAGGTTAATTTTTTTTTTCGAAGAAGAACGAATAAAATGCTTTAAGTAAAATCGATCATCGGTAGAGATACTACGCTTTCCAAAACATTCTGATAAAATATTCCGAAAGAAGCAACAAACAATTCACAAGTAATATGAGAAAATGTAAAAATAAAATCTTGCCAAAGTCAACTCTTCTTTTTTTTCTCACACTTCATATTGCTGGGCTACATTAATATTTGCAATCTTCTCAGATGAATTGATTCGAGATCATTTCAGTAGAATATAGTCCTTCCCGCCGTATTTTTCCTTCTGTCTTTGGTTAAATTATTTCTCATCGCGAAGTCACCTCTAAATTCAAGAAACATTTTTCTCTCTCTTCATATTGTTCATATTTACAATCTTCTCCGGTGAATTTATTTATGATCATGTGGGAAAATGAAATGGAACCAATAAAGAAAATAATAAAGAATTTAAAAAAAAAAAAAAATTCCCATGCTCCAAGTTATAAAGAAAGCGGAATGGGTTTCTGGTCACATGTGCGTTTTTAGGATTCAATTTCCGGAAAGTAGAGAATCTCTGTCTTTTCATTTCAAACGATATCGTTCGGGCGTGTTTTAGCAGCCATACTCATGAAGTAGTGATTTGGCCATCCAGACACAACACGATGCTTTGAGCTCGATCATCTTTATCCGTTCTTATTCTTACTCCCCAGAAATTATTTTTGAACTAAAAAGGAAAACGGACTCAAGCCACATTTAACTTTGTTTCAATACAGTCAACATAAAAGGAATAAACATCCGAAGCCGAGAGGTTTTTTGTTTTTGTTTTCATGCTTCTTCTTTGTTTACATATTGAACCTTCACCTAAATCTAAAAACTTTGCTAACTTCAACAATCATCTCAGTTTGAATATGCTCCTTTCCACCATATTCCTTTATTTCATCTTTCGATAAATTATTTCTAATCTCAAAGATGTTTTATCATAAAGACTGAATAAAGCTTTGCAAAGAGAGACAACAGCTTGTTTGTTAATCTTTCCATCACACCATCTACTCTTTAATTACGTTGTAATTATAAAGTATTTTTAAGAGTGACTTTAATAAATCTATCATTTAGAGTTTTTAAAATATTGATATTTAGAAATACATAACCTTTCAATTCCTTCGCAATCAATATGAAATGTATAAACAAAACAGAATAATTTTCATTTCAAAATTTATTTTTACAATTGAGGTATATATGAAAAAGATTAAAAAATAGCTTTCGAATACAATCGTGATTAATAAATAAATAAATTGTGGCCCATTTATTAATAGTTCATTGTTTGTATAATTCTTATATTAATTGCACACAGAAAGGATAAAATAAAAATTGCTCGCTGGTTGAAATGGTTGCATTTCCATCCCTGGTGCACTGGTCGGTGTTCAAGTGTAGCTAAAAGTTAGGATATCGAATTCTGATTTCAAGAGGCAGATCATCTTGACAGGGAACAACATAATCTTCCTTCATAGTCCTACTTCCATACACTGCTACCTCAGTCGTAAAATTAGTGTCTGAGTATTGGAGAAGCAGAATAAATATGACTTCGAGATGTTTACTGAACAATTCAACAATTGTCATGTGATGTAAGGAATGCGGACACGCGGGGATTTCTGTCCGGGGAAAATAAATTCAAGAATCATTTTTTTCAAGCATTTAAAATAAAAAAGTTAAATTCCTGCAAAATCAAAAGAAAAAGTTTATAGACGCAGATTTCAACATTAAACATTTGGCTTCTTCGGCGAAAACAAAATTTCAATTTCTTCCAAAGATTTGTTCTTTGTCTCAGGCAGAAAGAAGAAACAAAAAACCGATCCAATGAGAGCCACGGACGCCATTACGTAGAAAACACCTGAAAAATGAGAGAAAAGAAACAAGATTAACATTTTCAGATGTATCCGTTTCTGGTTGGGATATAAAGCGATACGAAAGTTAATAGGGACAGGAAGATTGTGTTGCGCCAATCCTCCAGAGGACAGAGCCCATCTCCCTTAAATATCAGTATTCATAATCCTACCGGTTTTCTGGTTCGAACACAAACCTTGATCAAATATGGAAAATACGCAATTCTCTCTTCTTTATGTGCCGTGTCCCTTCAGGACGTTGGCAGTTATGGTTCCCCACAACTTCCTGTCCCCTGTAGCTCTTAATAAATTTTGTATTTTTTGTTATTTCTATTAAACAATTTTCCGCTGTTCAAGCTCATTAAGTATGTTATGCGTTGTTTTTATTTTAAATATTTGAGCTTAACAACTTTAACAAAATATTGCAATAAAAATCATAAATATGAATGCTGGACGTTATTTTAAGAAGTGGGTACAAATGAAAGAATTTGAAATTGAACACTTTTCCCATTCTACTGAATTCTTTCTTTCATTTTTTCACTGAAACCAAGTAGTGTCTTTTCCTCTCTTTGCACGCAATCAAAAAGGAATAGTCCGTTATTTATAAGGTATTGCTAGGACATAAGTGTCGTTCGAACAAACGAAGGGGGGGGGTACAAACACAATTACTATAGGATGCTCGTAGGAGTTGTGTAAATACCGTAATTGTAAAATTGCCTTCTTAAAACCTATTCCTGATGACTGAGTATCGGAAAGGCAGAATAAACATGGCCCCGAGAAATTTACTGATGTTATCCGAACAAATGTAAGAAATACAGCCATGTGGCGATTTCTGACCAGGAGAAAGAAATATCAATAACTCGAATCTTAACGATATTAAGTGTCATTATTGGAATTTACATAACTGATAATGTCTTCATAGAAAATAGATAATGTTTTTTTCAATTTCCCCGAGAAGTTTTGCTAAAGAAATAAATACTTTTTATAATAACGCCCGTCTCAAGTTACGGTCATTTCATATCTAGTAAAACTCATTTTCATAAACTATCCTTATGTCTACTGAGAATAAAAAAAAACAATATTTATTTATTCATAACTAAGTACCGGTGTTGTAAGCTTGGATGTGCGGGTAGTGTAATGGATAATGGCTCGGAATACTTAATCCGAGAGACGAGTTCCAATTTCAAATGGGTTTGCTGTATTCACTTACGCAAAAATATCCTTGGGAAAGACATAAATTCACCTCTTCTCCCTCAGCTATGGGTTAATTAGTAAAACCTGTATCAATAAATACTTATTATCTCTAAAAATAAATCCTTACAATCTAAAAATTTCTGGATTTAAATAACCTGCATGACTCACTTGTTGAAAAACGTATTTCTGCCTTTCTCTCCCCAGCTTTGTTGAAGGCTTACGGCCACATCGCGTTGAAACATCGGTTCCCGTTAAGCAACGTCAAGCCTGGTCAGTACCTAGATGCACTCTTTGAAATACTAAATGCCCTAAGTTTGAATCTGTGGGCGGTATAGTGAATAACGGCTGGGAATTACTAATCGGAAAGCAAAAATCTTTATTTAAAAAAAATCTTACAATCTAAAAGATATTTTCTGGCTTTAAATAACCTACAGAGTGTTGATAAACCGTAGAAATCGAATCAATCAGCAAAAAAACAACTTTATTGATTTGAGTTTTTATTTAAAACGGCAATATTTATGTCATTCAGATATTAATGTCAATAAATTACGAACATTTGGTTTAGGAAACTTAATAATTTAAATCATTAGACATTCTTACCGTAACTCTGAATGAGTTCAATAAATGATAGAAACGAGGCTGCGATAATCAGATTACAGATCCAAGCAGTCATGGCTCCAAGGGCGTTGCCCGTGCTGCGTGCCCACAGGGGGTAAATCTCAGCGTTCAAAGTCCACGGAAGGGGACCCATACCTTAGGAAAGAAAAGAATATCGGTAAAATCCTGACAGTCAACTGGATTTTATTTCTATTTCTCTTTAAAATATAATATTAAGACAAGAACTTGCTTCAGTTTTTTTTTAATCATTTCACTCCATGCAAGGCAGTAAAGCTACTAAGATACAAAGAAATGAAATATTATTAAGGAAGCGAGGACAATAGAGGAAGAGTAATAAAAAAAAACAGTAGATAGCGATTGACATTGCATTTAAATTTTTTTAGGATCAAAATTGGCTAGATGGCATGGAACTGGAAATGAATTCCGCAAGAGAGATGTGCGAGAAAAGAAATTGCTAGAAGAGATGCTTCGGTTAAATTTAGCCAATTCAAATGTAAATTGATGAGACCTTGTACGAATCTTAGGAACTGCATTTGTTGAATTTTCTTTTCTTTGTAAAAGGTTGAGGTCGAATAATCAGAAGTTTTACTGTAAACATACATGCAAGAACTTCTCCAAGATACATATATACTTTTAATCCTTTCAACCCAAGGATGGCAATAAAGCCACAACGACGCAGTGTTAGAGAAGATGAGAAAAGATTTTAAAGAATTAAGGACCGAGAACAACAGAAGAAGCAAAACTAATAATGTTTTCCGTTTCGTGAGCAGATATGATCATTCGGAAAATATAGACGAAGATTTGTTGTTTATAAACAGTAATTTGGACTTTGTTAGCTCAACGCTTCTTTGTGTCTGAATGGTTAACAGCACATCAGATCAAATGATTGTTCCCATTAGGGTTTACAGATTCGATTTCTGTTGGAGAAGCAAATATTTTCTATTAAATTTCTCGAACATTCAGGCTGGTAAATGTAATTAATATTATTTATTTTAAAAAACAGAGCATTTACTTAAATAAATTGTATCTATTAAAATAACTTATAAACAGAAAAAATATATATATATAAATATATATATATATATATATATATATATATATATATATATATATATATATATATATATATATATATATATATATATATATATATATATATTATATATATATATATATTATATATATATATATTATATATATTATATATATATATATATATATATATATATATATGTGTGTGTGTGTGTGTGTGTGTGTGTGTGTGTTAGAAGAATTATTATGAACTAATTTAATCATTTTTAAAAAAAACCAAAAGGATGTTTTGTACATGGGAGAAAAAAATATATATATATATATATATATATATATATATATATATTTTTTTTTTTTTTCCCAGATATATATATTCTGTATTTGTTATTAATCGTTTTGTTTTCTTAACTTTTGTAAGTGTATGATCCCAGATATTAAAGATATTTTTCTTTATGTGCCGTGTCCCTCCAGGACGTAGACGATCATTGTTCTCCACAATTTCCTGTCCCCTTAGTAAATTTTACCTTTTCGTTATTTCACCTTAACTTTATTTCGTCATCCATTATGTTATGCGTTATTTTCCTCTGTCTCTCTTGCCTTCACTATGTCCTGAGAGTATCAGATTTTCCAAGCCCTCTTTCCTCATTATGCGACCTAGAAAGTTCAGTTGTCTTTTTCTGATGTTAAGTTTGCGTTTCCTTTTTGTTTCGTCGTTGTTCACATATTCGATCCATGATATACTCAGCCTCCTTCTGTAGAACCACATTTCTATTGCTTCGTCTCTTCATCTTTGAGGTGATTGTCATATAGGAGGATATATATCATATAACAGTTTTTCTGTTTTTCAATACTCTGCTTAGCTTATGGAACGCATCTTTCGCTATCCCAATGCGACTTCGGATTTCAAGGTCGTACTTTTGGTGCACGTAATTTGTATACGCTAAAATATATGAGCGACGCAGAACTGAGGTTCAAATCTAGCAGCAAGTAGTATTATTATTTATTGTTGTTTTTTATGTTTGTCCATTCAGTATCGAAAATCATATTCCATGTTTGTATAATATGTCTTGCATTATTTATGTGCGAAGGGATATGAGGAGACGCTTGCATATTTCCCCTCGGCTGATTTGATGAAGTGTCGTTTAATGAAAGATTTCCAACGATTTGTCAATCATGCTATAAACCAATGGAAAATACACGAATAATTTCGTATTTGGCAATTTAAATGAGTTTAACATAATAACCTTATTTTTAATCATTTCACATCAAGCAAGGCAATAAAGGCACTAAGACGCAAGGGGTTATTGAATGCTAGAGAATAGGAGAGAAAAACAATACTAAAGAGAGAGAACAATAAAAGAACAGGAATTAATAAGACAAAAGATAACGATTGACAATGCATTTACATTTTTGAAAATCAAACATGACTGGGAAGCAAGAAGTTGGAAAACATTTCAATAATCGAGACAAGCGACAGAAGGAACTGTTAGCATAGAACTTACGGTTAGATCTAGCCATTTCAACTGTAAAATGATGAGACCTTATCGCCAATCCAGTACTGCGCTTAAATTCATAAGGACTACGTACCGAAAAGAGAAGTTTATCAGAACAATTACCATGAAAAAGGCTACGTTATGGCCGTGAAAAGGTGACAGAAGCTGAGATAACATTGTTGTATAGTGTGTATTTTATTGTCGCTTTTTAAATTTGTCCATTCAGTATCGAAAATCACATTCCGTATTTGTGTAATATGTCTAGGATTTATGTATGAGTGAAGGGGCGTGAGGGGGGAACAATTTCATATTTCCTCAAGGCTGATTTCATGAGGTGTCGTGTAACGAAATGGAACCACATGTGCGCTGAAAATATTGACACATCTAAGTTCATGTCAAAATTCCAAGGATCTGTCAGTCATGCTGTCAACCAATAGAAAATACACGAATAATTTCGCATTTGACAATTTTAATGGGTTTAACAAAATAACCTTATTTTTTTAATCATTTCACCTCAAGCAAGGCAATAAAGGCACTAAGACGCAAAGAGTTACTAATTACTAGAGAATATGAGAAAAAATTGACAATGCATTTACGTTTTTTATTATCAAACCTGGCTAGGAAGCAAGAAGCCGGAAGAGAGTTCCACAAACGAGAAGTGTGAGAGAAGAAACTGTTAGCATAGGACTTACGGTTACATCTAGCCATTTCAACTGTAAAATGATGAGACCTTATCGCCAATCCAGTACTGCGCTTAAATTTGTAAAGTCAAGATATCAAAGAGGTAAGCTCAATAGAGCAATTACCATAAAAACATTTGTAGAAGCGATACAGGGAAGCTACGTTACGGCGGTGGGAAAGTGACTGAAACCGAGATGCCATGCCAGGACCCATAACATTGCAGATTCTTCTTTGAACTTGCATATATATGTGTTTACTCGGTTATCGTTATGAATGAGAATTGGATTCATAAAATTTCTCAATAGGTTATTTTGTTTCATGTGCAATGCAAGGTTCATGAATCAACGTTCAAATCTAGCAAAGGTTTATTATCGCAGATTTGGTGAGAAATATTGCCTCGCACAACACAGTGAACCAACTTTCTTAGCAGCATCCACGCTTTGACTATTGCCGCCACATCTAGTCTGGTGCTCCTGTTATATATTTAGAGATTCTTGATAAAATGCAAAGAAGAATCAGCAATATTATTAGTCCTGACCTGGCACCTCGGCTTCAGCCACTTTCCCACCGCCGTAATATTGCTTATCAGTGTCTTTTCTATGAATACTTTTATGGTAATTGTTAGAATGAACTCTTCGCTATGGTAACTAGACTTTATGAATTTAAGCGCAGTACTAGAGTGGTGACATGGTCTCATCAATTCAAGTTCTATGCTAACAGTTTCTTTTCTCACACTTCTCATTTGTGGAACTCTCTTCTGCCTTCATAGTTTCCAGCCAACATTGACCTTCAAAAAGTTAAATGCAATGTCAACCGCTATCGACTGTCTTGATTACTCTTCTATTCTTCTCGCTCCCTAACGTTTGTCTTTCCTTTTCTTGTTCTTCCACAAGATGGGGTGATACGATTAAAAAAAAAAGTAGACTTAACAATTGTTGTTAATCGTTCCAATTCATATCGTTTGACCGAAAATGGATAGAAACAGCGAGGAAACAATTCTGATTCTCTAAGAATCTCCACAAAAACGCGATACCTAAGTTTTAAATGAAATTTTGAAAAGGAGAAATCTTTCTTGAAGATTTTAGTTTATTTTTAATTATAAGCTAATAGATCAAATTTAATATTTACAATAAGCAAAATACAAAGAATTTCTTTTTTTATGTAAAATATCTGATTAGCACCCTTTTTAGTCGTCTTTCATCGCAATATAATTCTCTTTATTAAAAAATCTTTCAAAACTAAAATATACTTTTCTGAAACATTATTTGAAGAATATTAACTGATTTAAAGCATAATTGATCCGATTTAAACAAATATTATTTACTTTAAGTTTAAAATATCGCAGGCAGTACTTGTATTTTTAATCTTACAGTAGCTGCGTTGACGTTTGACAAGGTGATGACAAATCTAATGTTGTTCTACGGACACTTTATCTGTAAAACATAATTGAAAAAATGACGTGAGCACCTTTTTATATCATTTTTAAGTTTTTTTTTCGCGAAAATAGATAGCATGACAAGAACGGTCTGAAAATTAACGGAAAAAATTTTTTTCATGATAAAAGTATATTTCATTATTGAGAAGAAACACTAAAGTATTTTTTGAGTAATTTTTGAAATTTTTTACTCATTCTTAGCATGTCCGAAATTTTAGTTAAAAAAACTTGTTTACAGAAAAAACGAAAAAAAGCTCTATATCAGCCATATTTTTTAACATTTTAAAAATAAGTTAAATTCTTCGTTTAAAATTCGTTTAAAAATTAATTATACGTATTTCAATATTTATTCGAAGAAATTTAGAAAATTTGAAGTTTATTTAAAATATTTTGAAAGAAACTTTTACTTACTTTCTTCGTAGAAAAATGTTTTTAAAGATAAAAGAGCCGATCTTCACGTTGCCGTCGATTGACAGAGTGCCGAGTGATGACATCTATAAATTATTGACAGCTGACGTGAGATTCGAGTTCCCATACGGAAGCACAGAATGGACATATTATTTTTTTAAGCGGACCTACTTAAGTAGTAACTTGTAATATTTAAAAAAACTTTCGCCATTACAATTTTTTTTTGTTAAGTACTATGTACCATAAGTTTGTCGATACTATCTGGAGAAATTATAAATACTATTAAAAAAAATTAAAATACAAGTGCTGCACTGCTGTTTGAGGGCCCATATAGACCCCTCTAAAGTCAATTCAGATTTGCTATTATAAAAAAATTTCTATCCCCAGTAAAAATAATCAAACATAGTAAAAGTCATTTTGTCACAGCCTATATTCTCGGAAAAAAAAAATAAATGGATTCTTATATTTTTACGTAATAAAAATGACTTATCTGGAAAAATACCAGGAAAGTTTATCTGAATCCCATGAAACTAGGTATTTTCTGAAAGCAAACAATATGTTTCATTTAAAAGTAAAATTGGCCAGTGTAAATGACTGAAAAGTTTTTAGCTTTCTAGAGGCAAAATGTGAATCTTACTTATTATAAAACCCAGGTTGTGTGTGTTACGTTTACATATTGGATCGAATTTCCTACATTTTTCAACCAATTTCAACCAAACATTACAGGACTACGATGAAAACTAGATGAAAGTACCTATTTTAACTTAATGAAAATGATGCATACGTGTTTCAGCAGGAACAGTTTGCTAAATTAAGGGGCCGTATACAGCGAAGAACAACCCTTACTAGACAGAAACTCAATCCACGTGACGTTATTTTTATTGCACGCACCAAACTTCCGGTCTTCCGTAGATTTCGTTGGTAAACACATTATTGACAAATTAATTTTTTTAATATACGAAGACTCATTAGTTTGTAATTTTTTGGAAATTATAATCTGTAAATATATATCTACTTAAAAACAACATCCGTTAAGCTGTACAAGCTTTTCCATAATTTTAGAAGAATTAACAACATAATGTAAAAAAAAAAACAATGGTTGCAGAAATAAAAAAAATAATTGTAGGTAATTGTTTTAAAATTCATTTTCATCGAAATATCTTTTTGCTTTCAGACAATATTGTCCATGTTTATTGGAATAAATAAAAGCAATTAAAAGCTTTTGAAATTAAATAATATTTTTGTTTTATTGAGTTTTTGTATGTTACACTTCAGAGACGATTTTCAGGTAGAAGGGCTCCAACTAAAAAAACAAAAACATGATTTTGTTTCCTCAAAGCATTGTGCTTTTAACTGATATAATCACTAAACTCCTCAAAATTGAAATTATAGAGTTTTTGTACAATTAGTTAGAGCGGGTAAATACATATGAAAAAAAAGATTTCTGCGATGACTTTACTAAAAAAACATGTATTTATAATAAGTTCCATCATTTGTAAATAGTTTCTGAAAATTTCATTAAAATCCGACAATTATTTTCATTTTGCAAGATTTTCCAAATTAATGTGTGTCAAACGGGAAAAAACGCGCCAAAATGTTTATACGTTAATTTATCAGCCAAGCTGATAAAAAGAGAAACAAGGTCTTTTAATCAAAATTTACAATGTTATAAAAAAGAAGGAAAAATTTCAAAAAATAAGTAAAAAATACTTTGATCTTTCCTCTAAAAAGTAACATAAGCATTTAGGCGCGAAAATTTGTTTTTGTCAAACAGAAATACCGTTATCCGAAAATCTGCTTTGAATCGTAAAATATAAAATGCAATAAAAATATGACATTATTTAATTAGAAACGCTTTTAATTGCTTTTATAAATAAAATATATTGAGGAAACTATTGTCTTAAGAAACAACTTTCGATGAATAATGAATTTTTATAAGAATTGTTTAATTTTTTCAATTTTATTTAGAAAAGTTTAAGTCTTAAATCTTTTAAAATTCAGTATTAATTTCAGCCTTTTAGATGATATTATTAAGTGAAAACTATATTTACTAATCATAAATGGAAAAGCTTAATACAAATCATCAAGCACCAATATTTAAAAATGATTTTGAATTTTTAATATATAAACGTTCCGATTGTTGTAAGTACAGACGACCATAAGTGTAGTAAATTTAAAGCCGAAATTTCTAAAATTCAACAAAACATTAGATTACGGAGAATATTTTCCTATATTTTTAAGTTTAAATGTCATAGTTTTTATTATATTTTCACAAAAGCATAGTGAGGTAAATAAAATAAAAATAAAATCATATAATAAAAACCTCAGTCGACAGTAAACTAAGTTTTTCAATGAACAAATGCTGTCGAATTTAAAGATTATACATCTACCAGACTGGCAATGAAATAATAATTAAACAAATAAAGTAAGAATTCTTGCAAAATGAAGTTGTAAATAACATACATGAAAACTAAGTAAATAAAAGATTAAAATCACTTACTTGGAGCATTGAATATGAGAAAAAGCGCGAATCCGACAATCGCTATCCACGAAAAAGTTACAGGACAATAATTATAAGCCCATTTCATGGAATATTTTGATAGTGTTAATGAAGAGTTACATGACCCTGATTCGGATATGAGATGTGAGGTGTCGCTGACTGGTAGACAAGCACCGTTTATGACGGCACGTATATCTTCATGACAAAAGCCACAATTTGCATCCCTGACACAGTCGTCACATTGACTGCAAAAATAACGATAATCGTTTAAACCAAATCTCTTTTTTAAAAGAAAGAAAAAAAAATAACAATAATCGTTTTATACAATTCAAGTTAAATCAAGCGGCAAATATAATCAATTTTGAATCGATACTATTATTCTAAATGTTTCTACGTACGAATGTTTTTTTCTAAGGGATAAAAATACATTATTTATTTATTTATTAATCCGACAGATTTTATAACTTTAAACGTTATTTTTAGTGGATGCTCATATTTGAGTAGAGGTTCGGTTTATTTATTAAATATTTATTTTCGTCTAGCTGCCTCAATTTTCGAGAAATCTTATTAAAGAAAAAATATAAGCTCACCAGCCGGATTCGAACTTGCGTCCCCACTAGGCACAAAGAACCATCGTTAGATCCGGCGTGCTTTAGACCGGGTCGGCCAAAAAAAAAAAAAAAAAAAAAAAACTTTGCTGATCAAGCATGGTTGAATAGTGCCTTTAAGCGAAATCCTTGTCATCATAGATTGAAATTTCATATCCACTCAGTTTCGGATTCAAACGTAAACAAATCACTTTTCTAAAGAAGTAATGGATTTTTTATTTATTAATTCGACTTATGTTATTACTTTAAACATTTTTGAGTAGACTGTCCGTTTATCTATAAAATAAAATATTTATTTATTTTCGTCTACCGGTTTAAATATTCCAGAAATCTTATCCAAGAAAAATATGCCCTCCCGGGCAGGATTTTCTTTTCTTTTTATAGAAATAAAAAAATCCTTTTTTTGGTTGTTATGTTAAATCAAACAGTAAAGTAATTCTATAGTACGATAGATAGACAGCCAAATGACGTATCCATTAGGCCATCGTTCTTCTGCTGGAATAGGATGTCTGTTCTTGTACGTGTCCACACTCATCCGATTGCTCGCAAGATTCTCTTGTCGGGTCAATTAATACTGAGTATTGTCTTCTCTCCTCACTAGGCGCTTCTTATTTTCGCCTTTGTGCTAAATCTAATCAGGTTTTAGTAAATCACTAGAGACTCGCAAAAAGCGGTGAAATATTGGTTTACCGTTATTTGAATCTCTCCTATGGTATTCCTGGTTCCAAAATCAATTGACCAGTTCTTGCACAGTCTCGTAAAATCCAACTTTCCGATCAATTGGGAAACGGAAGCTGCAGAAAGAACCAATTGCAGTCTACGAAAAATAAACACCCTTCGAAAATACCAGGAGACAAATAGAAGAGACGAAGAGAGCACAAAGAAAAACCAGAGATCTTCACCCTGCGGTGGCTGCTGGCGTCTCTTCAGATCCAACATTGGCACACAGGAGGAAATGTCGATGGGTTCCCCAATACTCGGCAATGACATTCGCCAACGATATTATATATCTAAACACACATACAATGTGCATATATATATATATATATATATATATATATATATATATATAAATATAAAATGAAAGGAATTCAGGTTAGTGTTCTATTTTTAAAAAGTAAAGGTTCTTTTTAAAAATAGAAGGATGTCAACTTGTATCGCTGTTAAAAACGGTATATTTTGGTAGGAAATGTTTTCTCTCCGCCATCTTCTATCGACAAGAAGGAATAATGTTTTTTTTTTTTTTTTTAATTTCGCACTGTCTTTATACTAACGTGTCAAGTGACTGTTGGAGTGCTATGTGACTACGCATCTTATGGGAATAACATTCCATTTTTGCCACACATTTTTGCGTGTATATGTATTTTACAAAAGAATATACAATTCTTTCTTTAATATCTCACCATATATTATCCTTTCTTTTATAATATCACCAGATAACAGATTTTTTCTTTCTTAATGTCTGCCAACTATTTTTTGTTTTTATCCTTTATTATCATTCTTTTCTTTCTTTGTATTCATTTTTTATATTAATTTTATATGTATAAATTTGTATTCATTAATGTATAAAATAGCCATATTATATCAGTATTTACAGAAATTAGCATGCAAGTATAAATAGGTGGGTTAAAATTATTAAAGTCTATATTTCCTGTTCAAGAATATTTGGGTATATTGTAAATTACATTCCCAGAAGACATTTCATAAAGTTTTGAAAAATGTCGTTATTATTTGAAATTTAAAAACCAAAACACACGATTCCTTATGAAGCCAATAAAGATATGGAATGTCGTAGAACAAGTTGACAAATGATCGTTTCTTAAATTTTTAATAAACTTAAAATTTGATTCATACGGAATAATTAAATCTATTAACTCTAATTTTACGTAAGATTATAAAATTCTTTCTTCCTTTAATATCTTTCAAATCATTTTTCTTTCTTTTTTTAAATTTATCTCAACTTTTTCTTTGATTCTCAGCGTCTTCCCACTTTTTCTTTTCTCTTTCTTTTCTCTTTCTTTTCTCTTTCTTTTCTCTCTTTCTATATTTTTTTCTTTCTATATTTTTATGTATTTTGCTTATCAATTTTATATGTTTAAATTTGTATGAACTATGAACAAATTCTCCCCATTTTATCGTTATTTACAGAAATGATTATTCAAGTATTAAGTAAATCTTAGTTTTAGTTATTAGTGGAATTTTCACTTGATCATCAATTTAAAGTTATTAAAGTATATATACCCTTTTGATAATGTATTGTAAATGTCTCCTAAAAATGTATTCTTTGAGACATTTTATGAAATGCTAAAAACATTCTCGTAATTTAAAAAATAAACATGATTCCTTATGAAGCCAATAAATTCCATTGAATGTTGTAGAACAAGTTGACAAATTAACGTTTTTTTCTTAAAGTGTTAATAAAGTTAAAATTTTCAACGGAATAATTAGTCTAAGTCATTAATGTTCATCTGTTAACTTTAATTAAATAATGATCTTATCTGATGAATGGAATTCTTACCTGTATGTAGAACATGTGTTGTTGGGAAAATCGTTTGTGGTGTTGACGCTGGGGGAGTATCTGGCTGCCATAAGGAAAGTTGTTCCTAAACACAAACTGCTGAAGAATAGTCCTAAGCAAAAATCGAAGAGAAAATATTTTAGATTTTAAATCCTAAAAAAAGTAAATCATATGATCTGATCAAGTCTGTCCAATCAAATATCTTAGCGTCCAGGAAATTACAAATTTCTTTCTAAACAAATGTGTTTCATAAAAACTGGAACCGTAATTCCTCTCTACAAGGCTTACGGCTACATCACGTTGAAATCACCGGTTTCCGTACGATCACCGAAGTTAAGCAACGTCAGTACTTAGATGGGTGACCGTTTGACAGTGCTAAAAGCTTGAATGTGTGAGTAATGTAATAGATAATGGTATGGAATTGAAAATCGCAGAGCCGTGTTCAAATTTTAGTTGGGTTCGTTATATTCACTTACGTAAAAATACCATTCTCCCACAAGTATGGTAATTTTTTTAGTGATGCAAGTCTTACTAATTAACATTAGTAAGACTTGCATCTTCCCAAAAAATATCCTATAATTTCTTAAAAGAAATCAAATTGTACTCCAAAATATAACTTCAACAAAAGTACAGCATAAAACATGCATATCATGGCCGCTAGTCCACAAAAACATATATATGCACAAAAGCTGAGTATCATCTACCATGTATTAATTCAACGCTCACGAGAAAATTAAAATTTAGGCTGAAATGACCCATAAGGAGTTGATATGCTGTTAAACAAACCCAAACCCAAACCAATCAAACCTATCTATATCTTTTGTTGTGCATGCGTTGTGGACATATCGGCGCCCCGACATTTTTCTTGTTTCTACACAAGAGCTAATTTCACGTGTCCATCTTCATGCTTTCACGTATACGTCGAATGTTGTTGGATCAAAAAAAATTACTGAAGATATCTAAAAATAATCATACAAATATCTAACGGCGTATGCTAGTCGGTATCTTTAATAAAGAATTTCAACATGATTACTTGACTCGTAATCGCATTAATGTTCACGTCTTCCCAGTGTTGGGTTAAGATATTGCAGATAAACACATTCTACGATACGCATTCCGTAATTGTTACACTAAGATGTTTAAATATTGCGGACTAAGCTTAGTTTGAAATAAGTGTTCTGTTACTACGGTACAGAAACTGCATTCTTTTACTTCCACTTTCTTTGTCCCTTTTTTAGTTTAGGTACTTTTTAGATTAGACTCCGTCTTTGATGTCAGCACTTAGTTATCACCAGAACCCATACAGTAAAAGCATGAGCCCAAGCACGTTGTTCTTTGTTTTCTTATCTTCCTAATTTTACCCTCAGTGTTACCATCGCCAGTATGTAACTTTCAAAGTCTTTTTCTCTCTACTTTGGTCTACTTTATTATCACGTTATTATTTGAACATTACTTAGATATAGTTATGTTTTATACGTTTATTTTATGTTTGTATTTCTGTATGAAGAATTCTTTCAACACGTGTTAACTGTTTACACACTGTTCCCAATGTAGATTTCATCTAACTTCCTTTCTGTGAACTTACTGCAACCTTGAAACGCATTCTTGTAGCAAACTTTATACATAATCATTAAATAAATCTGTTCGCTACCTTCCTTTACCCATTCACACAAATGGTCTATGTTCAAGCCTCTGGCCGCTTTTCTCATTTTCCTTATTACCTTTTTGTTTGTATGTTATTCAGACTAAACTAGTCTTATATATGTATTTATTTTTCTAGTTTTACCTTTTTGGCTTTTAATAAACCTACCGATGAACCGGACTTCGTCTTCAGAGTTTATTTGGCTGTCTTTAGGTACGCATGTGTTGGATACAGACGCGTACTCTCGGGGACAGAACAATAAGGCTATTGTATTAGGCCACTCAGTGAGAAACACATTCATTCACTTCAACGATTTATCTTCGAGTTCGCGAAACAGCCGATCAACGAGACCGAATGTAATCAAGAGAAGTGACCTGCAGCAGTGTCATGTTAACATGCTTGTCTTTCAAGTCACTATAAATGCCCAGTTTTTGTGATCTTCTGCCAAACTAATTTTAATTAATATCTAGTTTGAAATATATTTGAGACATTTTAGTATTAATTTTGTTTAATTAAACTCAAAAATACACTTTACCTAAGAGTCCAATAATTGCCAATTTCCTTCTCCCGGCTGAGTCGACCAGCCACATTCCAATAATGGCAAACGTGAGGCTAACACAATTGACAATGACAGAATTCCAGAGAGCACTTGACACATTTCCAACGCCAGACATTTGGATTATGATTCCACTGTAATATCTGAGAGTAGAAAAATAAAAGAAACCAAAAGAATGGTCAACTACAAGAATAGACATTTTTTTTTTATTACTGAATTTTTACCGAAAGAAGAATGAAAAGATATGAACTCTGGAACATGTTATATACGAGTCAGAATATCGAAATAAAAGCAAAGTTCAAATACACTTCACAGTTCATAAGATTTCTTTAATAGTAATGGGAAAAGTATGAATCTAATGCTCTTTGTTTTCAGTTTTATAAACAGCCATCTTGAATGTGATATCTTTGATATTGGCTTAAAGGAGAAAAGCAGGTATTTACGAATCTTACCTTCTCCTGGGACAAGAACATGACAGCGTTTTGCTCAATGAAGATTCGACTCGTTAACAGTATTCGTCTATGTACTGTGTCTCGCCAGGACGTTGGTAATCATGGCTTTCCATAATTTCCTGTCGCTTTGTAGCTTTTAATAAAATTTGTCTTTCTGTTATCTCTCTTAAACCTTGCTTCGCTATCCATTAACATTTAAACCTCGCTAGGGAGGTTAGCCATTTATCGCTGGGGCGGTTAGCCGCTGTTTACTTCTGACACTCTTATTTTCAATCTGATCTGTCAATTTCCTTCTCCCGACCGAGTCGACCAGACACATTCTAATAATGGCAAACGTGAGACTAAAACAATTGACAATGACAGTGTTCCAGAGTGCACTTGACACATTTCCAACATATCTGAGAGCAGAAAATAAAATAAAATTCTACGAATGGTCAACGAAGACAAGCGACATGTTCTTTAACGAATAAAATAGATGTGAACTCAATGAAGAAGAATAATTCAATGCATTTTCCAGTTCTTCATATTTCTTTAATTACCAATTTGAAAAGTATGAATCCAGTGCTTGTTGTGTTCGGTTTTATAGCCATGTATATCTTGAATGTCATATCTTCGGTACTGGCCTATTTTATAGTTTTCTTTAGGACAGGAGTAGATAGGTTCGCCTATCGTCCGGTTCACACTCCTACCTGGTCTTTTGAACCGTAGTTTAGGTTTATCCCTTATTTCCTGTTTAAGATTGGGTTTCCAGTCTTTTAAACTCTATACATCTAACGTCTGTCTTAACTCTAAAATTTTATTTACTGTTGATTTTCCTCATTAGAAGGAGATAGGTTTGCCTATCGCCCGGTTCACACTTTTCTCCAAATCCTTTGAACAGAGGTAAAGTTTTATCCCTCGTTTACTGTTTAGGATTGGGTTCCCAGTTCCATCCAAAAAATTCAACTATTAGTGGTATTATCGCCTTGCTTGGGGTGAATTGATTAAAAAAAGATCTCGACACTAGGATATTCAGAAGGGCATGAACTCACTGGCGAGATCCTTATGAAACTGTCACAATATGCAAAGATGTATTCGGATTTGTTTACTTCTAAACTCTTCAATGATCGTTAAGGCGAAAAGATGAAAATATTGTACATTTTTATCTTTTAAGTTAAGAAATATAAACATTTAGTAAGGGATGCACGCGTAGCGGTAACTGGCGCGCAAAATAGAATCAGCGTTCCGAATTCAAATTCCAGTCAAGCTTGCTGCGTTCACTTGTGCGCAAGTATCTTTGAGAAAGGCATCAACCCACCTCTTCTACCCACAAATATGAACTGAACAGCAGGAGAGACCGAGTTCTATTGTCGTAGTTGCTAAGCTGTATGAGAGAAGGGTAATTAGTTGGGCGTGAGGCTAGCATCTTTTAAAACCTACACGTTACAGATAACACAGCAGTGACGTCAAGCACGCTGTTGCTTTGGCCCTATATTCCATAATGAAGTCACGCGTAGCAGGCAATCCTGGAATCCATCTTGTTCTCCCGATTTTGCTCCTTCAGACTACAATTTGTTTTGTAGCTTACGGAATCATTTGGAAGAAACAGCTTTTGTAATACAGGAAGAGGTTAAAACTGACATTTGTGAGTTCTTTGAATCAAAGCCAAAAGAATTTTACAGTAATGGAATTAGTAAGCTTGTTAATAGATGGAAGGAAGTAATAGATAATCAGGGAAAATACATTGTTGATTGAATCTGTAATTAAATGTAACATTTGGTCACTTGTTTTCTTAATTCAAAATTCGGACAGAACTTATGGGATGGCCTGATATAAACCCTGATATTTTGCGAGTCAGAATGTCGATCGTCCTGGGTATGACCACAGGTAGAAAGGATTCTGATCGGGTGATTGGTGGTATTGTAGAGCGTGGAACCACGTCATAATTACTTTTGTTCCCAGCATCTGTTAGTGTCCCTGCTATGGTCAGAGTGACCCCATCCCCCCAAAAATCAACAGTAGATTTTTATATTAAAATTACCAACAATACATTTTATGAGCTACATAATATATATCTAAAAACACCGAAAGTATAAAATTGTGTACAAAATATTTAGAGTTCAGCATTAAATAACCCATAGAAGTTGATATGCCATTAAACAAAATCAACCAACATGAAAGAAATCTTTCATTATATTAATCCATATAATATCCTACAGTTTTTTTTTAAAGAAATCAAACTGTATTCCAGATATAGCTTAAAAAACTACAACATAAAACACACAGATCACCGCCTTTATTAATTATGCCCACACAAACAGGCACATGCATTAAAACTGAGTATCATCTATCATGTATGCAACTGTAAAAACAGAATATATCATATTTTTATTACTTCAGAGCTCCAAAGAAAATTAAATTTCGACATTAAATGACCCCCAAAAGGGGTTGATATGCCGTTAAACAAATCAATTACTCAATCAGAATATCGAAACAAAAACAAAGTATACTTCACAAATCTTAATATTTCTTATAGCAGCAATGGGAAAAGCATGAATCAAAGCCTCTTTGTGATTCGTCTGTACCAGTCATCTTGAATGTTATGTCTTCGTTATTGTATAGTCAATAGCGAAGACATAACTAAGAGAAGTAAGTATTTACGAATCTTTACCTGAGAAAGAATCATAAGACAAGGATGTTTAAGAAAAGAATAAAACTCATTGACAATATTTCTTGTGAGACTATCACAATAACAAAAAAAAAAAAAAAATGTTCGATTAACCATATTCACGGCCTGAAAGTAGTCTTGCAAATACAGATCACTTAATGATTTCAAGTTCCTTTCAATTGCTTTTTTTTTAAAAGATGTCTTTCAATATCAAAATATTGATTGCAAAACACTTCAGAATAGCCACATTTGCAACCATTACTTTCTTCAATATAATGAGTTTGCTTGCTTCTAAGATCATCGCCTATCCTCAAAAATGAAAATATTGTGCATTTTAATGCTTATGTCTTTGTAAGTTAAGTTTTAAAATTTTAAATTATGCTCGCGATATTATTGTTAAAATTCATAAAATTCAAATTGAAAACAGAATCTAGAGTATTTAATGGAGAATATAATAAAACTGAATGACAATGGACACAAGCGTAACGCAACAGTCATCGGCTAGGAAACTGGAAGTAGTGTGCAGAGTTCAAATTCCAGCCAAGCCTGTTGCGTTCACTTTTGCCCAAATAACCTTTTGAATGTTATCAATCCATTTCTTCTCTTATCATCTATGGTTCGAATATCAGAGTAGACTAGGCTCTCTAGTATTGATTGCCAACCAGTATCGGAGAACAACAATTGGCTGGGCGTGAGACTGGCATCATTTAAAACCTATTTGTACAGAAACCACAGCAGAAATGTTTGGCGTTGGTGAGTCTGATGTTACTAAAGACGAGGAGGAGGGGAGGAGGATAATAAAATAATGTAAATGGCGGATTGTACAAAATAGCAGCTGGTTCGCCTCTCTTAAAAGAGTTACTGACTTTGTTATCACCAGAATCTATTTTAGATATTTATAAGTCTACCTTTCAGCCATACTTTGAATATTGCTGCTACATCTGGTCCCATGCTCCTGCTGTATATTTAGAGAGTCTTGATAAAATCCAAAGAAGAATCAGCAATATTACTGGTCCTGACCTAGCATCTTGGCTTCAGTCACTTTCCCATCGTCGTATTGTAGCTTCCCTGTATCTTTTCTATAAATATTGTCATGGTAATTGTTAGGATGAACTCTTCGCTACAGTACCTAGACTTAATGAATTTAAGCACAGTACTAGGTTGGCGGCAATGTGTCCTCAATTAACGGTTGAAATGGCCGCTAGATGTAGCCGTAAGTTCTATGCTAACAGTTTTGTTTCTCGAACTTCTCTTTTGTGGAACTTTCTCCCGGCTTCATGCTTTCCAGCCAACTTTAACCTTCAAAAACTTAAATGCAATGTCAAGCATTATCTACTGTCATCTTGATTACTCTTCTATTCTACTCCCCTTTTCTTCTTGTTCATACATACTCAGTAACTCGTTGTGTCTTAATAGCTTTACTACCTTGCATAGTCTAAAAAAATCATGATCAAGTAAAATATGTTCTTGGACATATGGATTTAGATTAGATGGTCTTAATAAATAATGTAATTTTATGTCATTCCCAAGATAAACGACTAGTTAGCCAATATGGCAAAAGCAAAAATTGGATGTGGTCGAGTGTAGATTAGATTAGATTTACATTGTTTTATTATTATTTCCATCTTAAGAAATTCTGCAGGTTGATTGCTAATGAACCTGATTTTTATAAATATGTATCTTTGTACGCGAAAGAAAGGTCGGCCTATTTCAATAATATTTAGTCCGATATGAAAGTGAAACTAAACATTTAACGCTGACATATAACCTTCATTAAAAAGTCGTTTGTTTTCCGGTCTAACATTAAACAGGAAGTAGAAACTTTTGTAAATTAAAAGATTTAGTGTTAAAAAAAATTAACTATATCTTACATAACTGTATTCACACCAGAGAACTGAGCAAATAAGTGCAAACCACAGCCAACTACCAGAGCCCGCCTTACAGAGCTGGTTTTAAGCATTCTCAAGAACAAATTACCTCCACCTACAAAAGATAAAAAAAAAGACATTAAATATTATGATCTTCCAGTTGATTAGATTCATTTTACTGATTTATCTTTAGTTAAGAGAAAAGTAATTTCAACTGAAGAAGATCAGGTTCAATTAGAATCGGTGTAGTAAACACGGAAACAGTTTCATTTGATAACACGAGAGGCATTTTAATATTTCATGTATTCTTTATTAGCAATGAGAAATGAGTATTTTTAGAAATAATATGCGTAGGTTTCAAGTTTTTCTTTGGATCAAAAAGAAAAAAGGCACATCGCCATTTTTGTTTTAAAATCTAAACCAACAGAATAGAAAACCGGAATAAAATAAGAAAAAAAAGTGATTTTTCAAATGTGTTACTTTTTTATATTGAACTTTTCGGACAATTTCTTTGTTTTAATTAGAAATTAATAAATAAAAAAAACGTATGCAGCATAGAGAAATACGAGCTGGCTTTTGTCCAAGACGACCTTTTGTCAGTTACTCTATGTCAAGTCTCACGAGGAAACTTTTTGAATTAAATTGACCCGCGACAAGAAAAAAAAATTACCTGATTTCTCAATTGACTTCTGTATTTCTTTGAAATTAACTTCGATTGTTTGCATTTCTTGTTCGACATCTTTTGTATTTCGAATTCTGGTCAATGTTTCCTTCGCTTCATCCTTGCAGGATTTCTGAAGAAGCCATCGTGGGGATTCCGGAAGAAAAATCAAAGCAGTGAATTGGATACAACTAAAGATACCCTGGATACCCCATATGTACCTGAAAAACATAGGAACGGAGAATGATTTATGTGATTATTGAAGAAGAATTTAAATTATAATATGTTAGTTTTTTTAATATTTCTAGTATTGTCATTGAGAGTTTTAAAATTAAAAAAATGATACGAAATTAGATATAAAAGCTTTAGCATAAAAAAGGATCTGTTACAAAGGTGCGTTGGGAAACATTTTGTTTCAATTATTTGATCAACTTTTGTAGAGAGTGCATCAGAATATTACTGGGTGGATTTTTTTTTAACTTTCTTCTCGCGTACATATCAGCTGAATTGGGTACTTCAACGTGGTGTAATGGTTAGCAAGCTTGTTTCGCTAGAATAATTAAAAGTGAGTTCGATCCTCACTGTGTGCCCAACACTTTCGGCCTTGGGCCACATCTAAGCAATGCTTAGAAATTCGTCATATCAGCAGAACTGATCTTGTCTTCATTTTTGTTGTAACAAAAACCAGGGAAGATTTCTGTTAGCATCCGGGTCCCCAAAAACGACAAATAAAGAGCGTGAATCCTGTCAATAGAATCATAAAAAAATTCTATCTCTGCGAGGAAGTCTAAGATCTGAATTTCTACAGAAGAAGTTATCAGATTCGTTTTGGATTGAGAACAGTTATAACTTCATGCAAATGAGGGTATCTTTAATTCAGAGGGTTCTATAACTTGAGTCAACCGAGAATTTCAAATTCGGCTGTCTGTCGTTTTCGAGTGTAAACCAAATATCCACCACTCAACAAGAAATTGATTTGACTGGTATTATTTTTCCCCGTAAGTGTTCAGGATTGAATAATATTAGTTCTTGAAAAATTTGCTTTCTTGTCATTTTCATTGTTTAGTTTCAGAAATGAATGTCTGAAAACGATAGCAAATGTCTCTACAAATATTATACTATATTGTTCGATCAATGCATGAAAGCATGGTCGTAGTTGTGATGATGGCGTAATACATCTTTTCTGACTTTCTTTTGTTCTTAAGAAATGTTTGCTATTTTGAAGTACTTACCTCCATCCGTTCTTTTTGTCGTAGCTGAAAACGGCAGAGATGATCATAGCAATTAAAATCCCTATATTCAAAAATGGTTGACTCAAACCAATCAGACGGCCACGCAAGTGGCTTGGAGAACATTCTGCAACGTACACAGCAGTTGCGGCACAAGCAATTCCTATAAAAATAAAAAAATATATTTAGCAAAAAATAAATAAATAAAATATTCTAATGAGAGTTTGCTCTGTAAAATATCCATTCTATTATTTACATAATGCATTATTCGCCATCTTGCCGGATTTTCCGCGACTGTGCACTAGTCAAGATCAATGCAAATATTTTAAATTTAAGTCAAAGTAAAAAAAAAAAAAAGCATAGATTTTGTTCTCATGTCAAGTACCCTTAGCCAACTGAAAAGAGACAATTTCGCACTGCTTTCGGGTGATGGCACAGGAGTGTTTAACCAGACACACAACTACACACGTGAATTTGAAAACTGTCTTTAACGCGGCTTTCGAAATGAACACAAGGTTGTAAGTAATAAATGTTTTTTCAACAACTTTAAGTCGATCTCGAAAGATTGATTACAAGTGTTTGCTGAAAAATGTCCTGTTTCGATAGCTTTTATTATAGTCTGTTATACGAGGTCTGTCTGAAAAGTAACGGGACTGGATGTGCTGAGTGAACTATGAACAAAAGAAGGATAAGCGAACTGTGTTATCATCTAATAGGATATCTAGGGAGTATATAACTGTAAGCTTAGCTTTTTCACATGCTTTTGTGGCAGGACAAATCGTGGCTGCTTCACCACGACAATGCAAATGCACACAACGCTCTGAGCACCGGGCAGTTATTAGTAGACACAATATTAACAACATAAGATATGCAGATGACATAGTATTGATAGGAGACGCAGAAAGGGAACTACAAGAACTCTTATAGAGGGTAGTAAAAGAAAGTGAGAAGAAAAGATTAAACATCGGTTGAAAGAATACAAAATGTGTGGTTGTTAGCAAAAAGGAACAGCTCAACATGCAAATTACAAACTTTCAAAAGTTAAGTAAAGTATTAAGAGATAGAAACATTTAATTAAAAACAAATTAAAGCGTCCTGAACTGTTATGCAATTACAGATTTCCTATATGACAATGACTGCTGGACAATGTGTGCTCACAGGTGAAGAAAAGACTTGAAGGAACAGAAATTTTGTTCTACAGAAGGATGTTGAGAACACCATAGAGAGAACATGTGCGCAATGAGAAAGTTTTAGATAAAATGGGTACAAAAAGCATACAGTTAACATCAGGAAAGGATAGTTGTAACTTCTAGAGCAGATAATGAGGAAAGCTGGCTTGGGAATTTTTATACTCACATTAATTGAAAGAAAGATGGACAGAGGAAAACAATGCATAAACTACCTAGCGAGTTTGATGAAATGGATGGCAGAACAAGGCTTAGGAGAGATAACAGAAAGACAAAATTTATTAAGAGCTACAAAGGACAGGAAATTGTGAAGAACTATGATCGCCAATGTTCTGAAAAAATAAATAACATAGGAGAAGATGTAAAGAAATTCAATATGAACACCAAATCTGATTTCTTTTATCGTTTGCTACAATATTTTTGAATTGTCTTTCTTTTAAAAGTGACTACGATACCTTATTTTTTTAACACATGTGCTTTGGGGGCTTAAATCTGAACAGCGTGTGGATTTGTAATATAAAACCACCTTTTAAGTGAACAAGTTGTTTTTCACTGACCTCCACTTACCAGGGAAACATTCATAAAAGAAGACATTACGTAACTGCATTATGCATTTCTTCTTTTATTGATAACACATTCCGTTAAACAGCAATATCCACTTTTAAGATTGAAAACACTAAAATCATCGATTGATTGGAAGGTTTTATATTTTAAAATACAGGGTGCGACAGAAATATCTCATATATATATATATACACATATCCCAGAAATACCTCCCACATAATGATAAGATATCAGTGTCTTCATCTAGCTAATATCTTACCATTATGTAGGAAGTATTTTTGGAAGGCATATGTGGGAGGTATTTCTGCCGCACCCTGTATATAGCTGAAATTCTACTACCAACCTTATAAAAATGTTCAAAACAATTCTCAAAGAGAGAGTTTCCTTAGATGTAACATTTAACTTTCAAATAGGCACATACAAACCATTCAGAAATATTGGTTCGGGACAAAAGTTCGTAGCGTTTTTAAGTAGATTTCAAAGTAAATTTCACGATTTAGATATTAGATTTCCACATTTTCACTGATAATGTAAAAACAAACATTTAAAATCGTATGAAAAAGATCCGTTAGATGTTACCTTCTTTCAGAATGTTTATATCAATATAAATAAATGCGAATGTCAGTGTCATACTTTTTCAACTTTACTTCTAAAGGCCGTAGCCAAACATATGATACCATTTTTGGAACCAGGCCGACTCCGTGATCAAATTAAAAACATTCCGGGCCAGATCCAGAACCACAATCATACAATTTTGGGATTCCCAATTTTTTATTATTGCAATCGTTTTCGGCGCTTTTTTACGTGGTTTGCGACGAATTTTTTGTAAGACAACAATTTTTATAACTTGGAAATAAATTTGGGAATAATTGAAATTAATTGCGAAATCCAGCGAAAGTCAACCATGAAATAAAAATAATTGTTTGTACGGAAATTAAGGACCTACGTACATCAAATTGTCTTTAAATTAAATTGCGATAGAAGAATTATCATTGAAGGTAAGCTTAAATATTAGTGCAATACTTAAATGTAGCGATCAATTTTGAGTTTTTCTGTAGTTTATTGTCGCCTATACAAATTACATGCGCAAATAATTAAATAACTAAATAAAACTTGAGTTTAGAATTATAAAACAAAATTAAAACGAAATATTAACGAAAATACATTGGTCTCTTCCTATTTCCTATGTCAATCTGCTACCCAGTCTCTTCATCAGAATCTGGATGATAAGTTTAGTTAGTTGGTTTATTAATCCGATGAAACTCGCATTCATTTACACCTAACTATTTAGGCAGCACAAATTGATATAAAATTCTAAAATTATTGAAACCTAATTATATTCAATAATCATCACTATAAAATTATATAAGAAATAATATTGTGAATCATTTCTAACAAGTATAAAATAAAAATAAACATTACTAACAGAGCAAAACAAAAAGGAGAACATTGTATTCATTTTCTACTTACATAAGTCAAATCTACTTTTCTTTGCTGCCCAGTATCTGCGAGTTTCAGTGGCACAGATCATCGCCTATGCTTTTCTTCAGAAATATTTACGAAGAGTGCCTCGTTAATGACTAAAAGTGACACTCCAACAAAACTCAATTTTTCAAAAAACTTTCTCTATGACGATCAGAGAGATAACTGAACTTGTCATGGCTACCTTTAATATCAAGAGGTACACTGACGACTTTCATAAGAAAACACTAATTCATATACAAGAGAAGACTGCATAACTTATTATATATAACCCAGAGTCATCTTATGTGCAACTTTACAGCCGGAGTATAGAAAAGAATTTTACGTAGATTTTTTTCAAGGCAAAACAATAGCATATGGATTCAATACTTCGTCAGAATTGAGGGTTCAATAGGAACCCGAATAATCTGCCGTCTTTCATTGTAATTTTTAATTACACTTTTTTCGGCACTGGCAACAGTCAACAGTAGCCGAATTTTTTGTGTTCTGGAGAACTTAGAATTTGGACGTTTTGTTTTCACTACGCTACCTGTAGAGAATGTGTGTGGTCAGAGAAAAGAAAATTATCTGTTTTTGCTAATAAAAATCCCTAAATCTTGGGACTATTTACGTTGGTCGCCCCAAGAATTCAATTATCTTAACAGAAATATATCTAGGAAGAGTTTGAATATACAACGGAAATACCATATGTCCCATTAGCAAGATTGCCTAAGATTAAGATGTGCCATTTTCTGTGAAAATAATCTGCAATTTTTATAGTTATCGTTATTTTAGAGTTCTGCTGAAGAATTTCTAACCAACAAGAAGGCTAGCTGGTCAATTTACGGGGATATCGATATAATGAAAGTGAGCATTGTGAATTGTCATTTTCTGGAGACTGGCTAGATAGAGGGAGTCATGAATCATTGTTATCGGAATATAAAACCAGTGCACATTTCGCTTGATGGTCATTTTTTCCGAGTGGAGGAAACGGCTCAGCCAGGAGAGATCGGCTTGGAACGGCCCGAAATAAAGACACACATATAAACAAAGAATTACGTCGGTTGACTGGACATCACTAACGGTTGCGACCAGAATCTTCAAATCACCACTCCCGTAGTAGAGTATTTTAATTTGCAGTAGCTACTAGAGACATTTTATTCAATCAGCTTTTCATTATATTCAATAAACTTGTTAGATATATCAATAGTGTTGTGCATTTTATTGAAAGAATTCTTATTATAGTTTGATCGGGCCTGTCTTGAGATGACAGTGATAAAAAGTTTACCGCGGCCATAGACAGCAATTATGCAATCTGGTCTATGGTAGACAACGTATATAAGAGGTTCACACTAGACTTCGCCGTCACTCCCAATGTCGTAAGATTTTTGGAAACTCGAATCAACCCTATCGAGACAACATACCGGCCCCAGTCCAGGCGGGAAAAGGAAGCCGGATGACTCATAAAGCTAATGGAGCTAGCGACTCGCGACTGAGAGGAAAAAGAGAAGCCAGGAGAGTGTGGTGTGTGAGTTGAGAAGTGATTAGTGTTTTGATAGACGTGTCAACGATGAAGGGTTGTCAAAATACCGGCGATATACATTTTCGTAGTTAAAAAATTACCGGCAATACATTTTTGTAAAAAAAAAAAAAATTGTAAGCAATACAATACATCTTTGTTTAAAAAATTAACAGCAATACATTTTTGGAAAAGAAATTACTAATACAGCCAAGAAAATTACATTTCGGTATTAAATGACCCATAAGAAGTTGATATGCCGCTAAACTAATGCTAAAAAGAATGTAACAGAAACCAACAAGGACTCTGCACTATTTGACAAAACAAAATTCAAAGTATGTGCATTATATGAAACAAATAAAAGCTTTCCACTCTCCTCAAATGACTAAACATGGTTGCGAAAACAGCTCGGTTAAATTATTATCTTGAATA